TCATCACAATCATTACCAACCACCATTACTACCATACACCATCACCACCACCACAACCACAACCACCACCACAACCACCACCACCACCACCCAGCATTCTAAAACCCAACTCCTTCAACTAAATCACTACTGTAATGCTATCTTGGGTACAACAAAAAAACCCTTCAACAATGTAAATAACGCGATAAATCACCACCTTAATGCATTTCAATCACCTCTCGTCTGGGAATAGCACACTCTGACATGAAGCAATTGAACACTGCCAGGTGGTTGATTATGTCTGTGTATATTGTACCTGATGATAAGTAGTTTACCTTTGTGTTTGGTGAGTTATAGGTCCCAGTCATGTTTTGGTGAGTCATTGAGTGGATTTTGGTGAGTGGGATTCAAGCGATCTCTCCCTCTCCTCCTCCTCCCCCCTCCTTCCTCCCTTCCTTCCTTCTTTCTCCCCTCCTTCCTCTCTCCCTCCCCCCCTCTCTCTCTCTCTTCCTTCCTTCCTCCTTCCTTCCTTCTTCCCCCCTCGGACCTCCTTCCCTCTCCCCTTGTTTTTTTTGGGGGTGGTTAAGTGAGGTTGAGGTTAGTTAAGGCTGCTGTGTTCACCCTGCGCAGGCTACGTATAAATTCCACTCACAAGAAATTGCTGGGTTAAATTCTCAATTTGTGGAATGTTTGTTTTTTTATAGAAGGTGAGTTAGGTTAGGTTAGGGAGGGTGGGTTAGGCTGGTTGGGAGGTGGGCTAGGCTAGGTTGGTTCGTGGTGATATTCATGGCTTAGATGCAATAGTTACTATCATCACAAACATAACATCACACCACATCACCAACACAACCTCACCAACATTCACCAACACAACCTCACCAACATTCACCAACAATCACCAACACAAACTCACCAACATTCACCAACACAAACTCACCAACATTCACCAACAATCACCAACACAAATTCACCAACATTCACCAACAATCACCAACACAACACACCACCAATATCGGTCACTGCACAAACCAGCAGTCCAGTCTTGTTATCGCCAGGTATTGAATTTATTACTAATAATTTAATTTACAAATTGCTTTCCGTTTGTGTGTATGAGCAAAACCTAACCTACATAATTTACAGTGAGGAGAGAGAGAGAGGCTTGACACAGGTGAGAACATCAGGGTACATCGACCTTTTACCACACGAGGTCTGGCAAGTCTCCACCACCTGCCACCACCACTAGCACCTGTCATTCCACTACCACCACAACCACCTGCCACCACCTGCCGCCACCACTAGCACCTGTCATTCCACTACCACCACAACCACCTACCACCACCTACCTGCGGCTTCTTGCTTATAACTCACAAGACGACACAACACACGCAAGATTATGAGTCATTAACTTGTATTGTGAGCTTGTTGTGAGATAGACCGGGGCCCCCTCTTCCTCTCGTGGCTAGTGAACGATATGTATGAGAATTTGAGAGTTTGTGAGTCAGTATTGATAATTTGTGAGTGTGTTAGTCAGTATTGATAATTTGAGTGTGAGTCAGTATTGATAATTTGGCAGGTGTGTGAGTCAGTATTGATAATTTGTGAGTGTGTGAGTCAGTATTTACGCTTTGATGATGTTATATAGTTACTCTGTGTGTGTGTGTGTGTGTGTGTGTGTGTGTGTGTGTGTGTGTGTGTGTGTGTGTTTTTGAGATTTATGTACACGGATGTAAATATTTTGGGGTGGGATGGGTGTTATATATGTGTGTGTGTGTGTGTGTGTGTGTGTGTGTGTGTGTGTGTGTGTGTGTGTGTGTGTGTTTAAATTCTTCTGTTATATTTTACTTTAGTTGTACACAATCATGTTTTGCTCCCTCATACTTCTCATTACTTCCTCATACACCTCCTCCCTTCCTCATACACCTCCTCCCTTCCTCATACACCTCCCTTCCCTCACACTCTCCCTTCCTCATACACCCCTCCTCCCTTCTCATACACCTCCTCCTCTCATACACCTTCTCTCCTCTCAATACACTCCTTCCTCCTCACACTATAGCCTTCCTCCCTCATAACACATGCTCATACACCCTTCCCTTGTAATCCTCTGCCTTATATTTCCTTCAATTTTATCTAACCTTCCTTTCTTCTCCCTCACTTCCCTTCTCCCTCACTCCCCTTCTCCCTCACTCCCCTTCTCCCTCACTTCCCTTCTCCCTCACCCCCTTTCTCCCTCACTTCCTTCTCCTCACTCTCCCTCACTCCCCCTCCTCACTCCTTCTCCTCACCCCTCTCCCTCACTTCTCCAGCCTCCACATTCCGAACACTTCCTCAAACCCTGCTTCCTCCTTTTCCCCACCCCCACACCCCCCCACCCCTCATCACCTCACCTCACCATGGGAGGTCACACGTTGTCAAGCATTATTGGGTAGTCGCTGGGCTCGTTAATATTGGCCCTGTGTCGGCGCTATCTACATGGACTGTGCTAAGTCCTGGTCTTTATGTGTGTGTGTGTTTTACTGACACACACACACACACACACACACACACACACACACACACACACACACACACACACACACTCTCCTTCATATGTTGAGGCAACCATTTATATTCTGCAGAAACAAGTTGATTTTTATTCTCGTTCTCGTCGTTGTGGTCATTTCTCTCGTGTAGTAGTCGTTGTGGTGGTCGTCGTCTGTCGTATAGTCGTTGTGGTGGTCGTCGTCTCTTGTAGTGGTTGTGGTAATCGTCTCACTCGTGTAGTCGTTGTGGTGGTCGTCTCACGTTGTCGTTGTAGTCGTCTCTCTCGTCGTTGTAGTCGTCTCTCGTTCTCGTTGTAGTCGTCTTTCTGTCTCGTTTTCGTTATGGTCGTCTCTCGTTCGTGAAGTCGTTATAGTGGTTGTCTCTCCCTCGTCTGTAGTCGTTGTAGTGGTCTTCTCTCCTCGTGTGTAGTCGTTATTGTGGTGGTCGTCTCACTCTCGTGTTTACTCCCCAAACTGAATTGTCTTGTTAATTCCCCAGGAGATGTGGTGTTGTACCCGAGTGTTGTTATATGACGACGATACCTTCCAGTCTATAGTCTCTTGTGCTGACGGCGAATTAGAACTGAGATTGTTGGCATAACCTAACCTAACCTAACCTAACCTAACCTTACCTAACCTTACCTTACCTTACCTTTTACCTTACCTTACCTTATCTAACCTAACCTTACCTTACCTTACCTTACCTTACCTAACTTAAATACCTACCTTACCTTACCTTTACTTAACCTACCTAACCTAACCTTACCTAACCTAACCCAACCTTACCTAACCTTACCTAACCTAACCTAAACCCAACCTAACCTTACCTTACCTTACCTAACCTTACCTAACCTAACCTAACCTAACCTAACCAACCTAACCTAACTCACTACCTTACCTAACCTTACCTAACCTAATCCCAACCTAACCTAACCCAACCTAACCTTACCTAACCTAAGCTAACCTTCAGGTCATCCATTGTTTATTTTGTTCGTTTTGTTACTTCTCCTCGTTAGTTTATATATACAATCCCTTGAGCTTTACTTCACAAGGGTTATATTCACCAACCTTCACGTCTGCTGTTTACATTCCTGATATAGTACTGTGTGTTCCTTTGGGGGGGGGAACAAAGTAACAGTAATACTTTTCATCGTTAAATTGTTACCTAATGGACGTGGTACTTGGTAAGACGTGATATATTTCGTTATAATATTGTTCCTTGAAGGGGTGTAGCACGTAACAGTAATATTTTGCGTTGTAAAATTGATGTTGTCCGGTGGCTGCAGGGAACACGTAGCAACACTTAGATTATTTCGTCGTAAATTTTAGTGTTGTTGTTATTGTTTTAGTTTTTTTACTCAGTGGAAGTAATCAAGGACTTTCTGACGTGGTGTATTGTGTCTAGCCAATTGTAGATACTGTAGGTTTGGTTTGGTTAGGTTTGGTTAGGTTATGGTTAGGTTTGGTTAGGTTTGGTTGGGTTTTGTTAGGTTATCGTTAGGTTAGGTTACCATTTGAGTGATTAATCTTAAGGTGAAGAATCTGGAAGGAAAGGGGGGGGAGGGGCTGATCTTCAAGTATCACCCCCACCTCACCACCTCCCCCACCCCATCCCCAGAAAAATGTACCTTCGTGGGGGTGAGAGAACTGACAGTGTGTGTGTGTGTGTGTGTGTGTGTGTGTGTGTGTGTGTGTGTGTGTGTGTGTGTGTGTGTGTGTGTGTGTGTGTGTGTGCGCGTGTGTGTGTGTGCGTTTTGACTGAGAATATTCCCATCCTGTATAGAAGTGCATCAGGTGTGTTGAATCTCCCACCTCCCTCTCCCTCTCCTCCCTCACCCTCCCCCTCCTCCTCACCCCGTCCCCCTTCCCTCTCCTTCCTCCTTCCATCCCTTCACCCCCAATCCTCCCTCCTCACTCCTTCCCTCTTCCTCCTCACCCTCCTTCTCCTCCTCCCTTCCAATCCTCCCTCCTTCACCTTCCCTTCCGCCTCCCTACTGTGTTCCTTGTCTTATTTTCTCGATATTTCTCTCTCCAGGCGTCCCATGAGAATGTTAGTGACTCTCTAAGTGTGAAGAGAGAAAGAGAGAGATTAGCGTTCACTGTTGCTACTCTAAGACACTTGAGAATTTACCGCGTTCAATGTTATCCCGCAGAGGTGTACTGTACTGTATACTAGCTACCCGGTATAGATTTTTCCCCCAGGGTGACCTCCGCAGCGGTACCATTTATCACCTGGGAGATGTTGTTGATAACCTCGACTCTCTCTCTCTCTCTCTCTCTCTCTCTCTCTCTCTCTACTGCTGCAGGTGCGGTAGTAGTTCACGCCTCACTTACTGTCTGTCTATCTGCCTGTCTGTCTGTCTGTCTCTTTTTCTCTTTATCATTTCAGAGATTTTAAGCTTTTGTAGAGATGTTAAGCTTTTGATGAGAGATTTTTTAACTCTTGAGAGATGTTAAATTGTTGAGAGACATTAAACCCCCCTCTTTTTTTTTCCTCATCAGGGTCTTCACGCCTCAGCTGGTGGCCTTCTACAATCTGAAGGAGAACACGAAGCACCAGCTGGAGGTCGTGTTAGTGAGTAGTGACACGGAAGACACGGCGTTCCAGGACTACTTCAGCGACATGCCTTGGCTGGCTCTTCCCTTCACCGAGACAAAGAGAAAGGTAAGGTTGTTTGGCCTCTTGAATTTAATGTTGCTATCGAGTTTCTTTTAATATTATTTTGTTTGTTTGTGGTTTTTTTGTCTCGTAATGTCTCTCAGATTTTTATGTATCAAGTTTGTCAAAATTTCACTCACAATATTGTCTCACACCATGCTGTATGGCTCGTTCGAATGTCTCATTTTTTTTCATAATTTTTTTTGACATTTAGTATTTAAATTATATTGTCTCTTATTAGTCTCTCAAATTATATATCGGTAGTCTCTTGTTTTTGGGTACCGGGTGGTTATTTTGTTCTCTTAATAGTATCCAATATTATATACGGTACATCTCTTGTCTCTCATTATTTTATAACTTTTATATATTTTTATCTCAATTATCTCTCAAATTATATAAATCTATCTCTCAATATTTTATAACTATTTTTATATTTTGTATATCTATTTTGTCTCGTATTTGTCGTCTCACATACCATCAGCTTTAACTGGAGCCTCAAGCAAGACTTTTTTACTATTGAATGTATGACTGCATGAATGTGTTGAATGTGTTGAATGTGTCTCATCTGTGAGTCTTAGGCTTTTGCAATATTCTGTCACGTCGTTTATTTGTGTGTGTGTAAGTGTGTGTGTGTGTGTGTGTGTGTGTGTGTGTGTGTGTGTGTGTGTGTGTGTGTGTGCTGCAATCTGATTACTTTCTTTTGCCTGAATGGATTTTTACCCGTGATGGTTAGGTTAGGTTAGGTTAGGTTAAGATTGAGTTAGGTTTAGGTTAAGTCAGGTTAAGTGGAGTTAGGTTTGGTTTAGGTTAGGTTAGATTAGGTTACGTTGAGTTAGGTTAGGTTGAATTAGATTAGGTTAGGTCAGATTACATTAGGTTAGGTTAGGTTAGGTTAGGTTGAATTAGATTAGGTTAGGTCAGATTACATTAGGTTAGCTCTTATAGTATATATCCACATATCTCAAATATCCAGCTTGTAATAACGTAAATATAAAATAGATATAGAAAATATATATACGGGTTATATATTCGTGTATCTCAACGAGGTGATTATTATTATTCATGAGTTAGTGAATTATTGATGCCCCCTGGAAGACTTAGACTCGATTGTTTATGGAGTGTTTATGTCTGTTTTTCAATAGTGATTTATTCATTTATTATGCAATCTCATTCGGTAATGTGTTTGTGTTTCTGGGGTCCTATTTATGAAGGGTGGTTGGGTTAGGGTGGGTCGGGTTAGGGTGGGTTGGGTTGGGTTGGGTTGGGTTAGTGTTGGGTTAGGTTAGGTTAACGTGTGGGTTTATCTGTACTCCATTAAATGTTGACGACTACAAGTTGGAAATAAAAATGTTAAGTTGTTGTTGTAACTGATAATGGTTGGCAGTGTAGATAACAGCGGCGTCTTGGTTCTTGTCACCTGATGCTGTGTGTGTGTGTGTGTGTGTGTGTGTGTGTGTGTGTGTGTGTGTGTGTGTGTGGAGAGAGAAGAGAGAGATAATAAAAGAGAAACAGTAAGAAACACACACACACATATATATATCTCACAAGAATAACAGTAATCAACACCGGAGAGAGAGAGAGAAGAAGAGAGAGAGAGAGAGAGAGAGAGGCAGCTGGGATCACTTGTCTACAGATAACAGTTATCAGACATTCCTGTGTACACTGACACTAGCACGGTGGCTTGATATCTCCTAGGACCTACCACACACACTAGCTGGGTATTTCCTAGGACCTAACTGGGGCTAGCTGGGTATCTCCAGACCTAGCACACACACTAGCTGGGTATTTCCTAGGACCTAACTGAGGCTAGCTGGGTATCTCCTAGGACCTAGCACACACCAACTACTTATCTCCTAGTACTTATTGGAGACTAGCTATAGTGTCTTCCAAGGACGTAACATAGACCAGCTAGTTACGAGTATTTCTGAATATACCTAAGAGCGACAAGCTTATTTTTCTCCTAGGAGCTAGCACAGATCAGCTGAGTATCTCCTAGGACCTAACAGAGACCAGCTGGGTATCTCCTAGGACCTAACAGAGACCAGCTGGGTATCTCCAGACCTAACAGAGACCAGCTGGGTATTCTAGGACCTAACAGAGATCAGCTGAGTATCTCCTAGGACCTACCAGAGACCTGCTGGTATCTCTAGACCTAACAGAGACCAGTGGGTATCTCCAGACCTAACAGAGACCAGCTGGGTATCTCCTAGACCTAACAGAGACCAGCTGAGTATCTCAGACCCAACAGAGACCAGCTGGTATTCCTAGGACCTAACAGAGACCAGCTGGGTATCTCCTAGGACCTAACAGAGACCAGCTGGGTATCTCCTAGGAACCAGAGGAGACCAATTTAACGAGAGATCAGGACCAGAGCTTGGGGGCCACACTATCACACATGCAAGGATGGACGTATGGCCTGAAACACACGATTATATATGGTAATGGTGGACACGAGGGGAGAGAGAGAGAGAGAGAGGCCAACAGTCGGGTGGGTCTATTTTCAACAGGAGTTACTTAGTGTATCAAAATATTAGTCCTGGGTGTCAAACATGAGGTTACACACTCTCTCTATCGGGTTGACAATACGCGTTCTGTATGGGTATTTTGCTGCCAGCTCTCTGATTGGCTAATATAGCTCAAAACACGACGAAGTTTAACGGGGTTTTTATTGGTCCATTCCGATGAGATATCTCGGAATAAACACTGGTCTGGGTCTGTGTTTGGGTGATGGTGGTGATGATGATGATGATGATGATGATGATGGTGGGATGATGGTGATGATGGTGGTGGTGATGATGATGATGATGGTGATGATGATGGTGATGGTGATGATGATGATGATGGTGGTGATGATGATGGTGATGGTGATGATGATGATGATGGTGGTGATGATGATGATGATGATGATGGTGATGATGATGGTGATGGTGATGATGATGATGATGGTGGTGATGATGGTGATGGTGATGATGATGATGATGATGATGGTGATGATGATGGTGATGGTGGTGATGATGATGATGATGGTGGTGATGATGATGATGATGATGGTGATGATGTTGATGATGAGATGATGGTGGTGATGATGATGATGTGGTGGTGGTGATGATGATGATGATGATGGTGATGATGATGATGATGATGATGATGATGATGATGATGATGGTGGTGGTGATGATGATGATGATGATGGTGATGATGATGATGATGATGATGGTGATGGTGATGATGATGATGATGATGATGGTGGTGATGATGATACGAGTAGTAATAATGAAAATAATAATAACAATAATAATACTATTGATGATGATACTACTACTCCTAGTAATATTATACTTTGGGATGACTGTACTATTCACACACACACACACACACACACCGTACCCTCCTCGCTTACCTGTCACCCAGACGAGCTCCACCCACCACACAGCCTCTCTACAAGGTGGGGGCCCCGTTACTAGTTTTCTTTACTGTCAGAATAACCTAACGCTAACCTAACGCTAACTTAACTTAACGCTAACCTAACCTAATTCTAATTCTAATGGACTCAAATCTTACCAATCATGTTAGGTTAGATTAGGTTAGAACAAAATGAGAGGTTAGGTTAGGTTAGGTAAGGTGGGTAAATAGTTATATAAAGGGCTTCGCAGTGCGTATAATTGTGGGTGTTCTATCATAGTTATACCAGTGTGGATGTGGGCGTGGATATAGGCGGATTGGCATGGCTCTAGGTGTGGATGGGCGGGCTGAGAAAGAAATCATGTACAGAGCATATGTGTGTGTCTGTGTGTGTGTGTGTGTGGAGACGTAGTGTGTATGTGTGTGTGTGTGTGTGTGTACAGAGGGTGGAGGGGCATAGGTCTCTAGCAGTCATGGGTACGATGTCTGTCTGTCTGTCTGTGGTAGTGTTGCTCTCTGGGTGGTCATGGTGTTTCTTGTACCGTATGTTAGTAAGATTTATTCTCCTCATTTACTTCTTCTCTTACCTCTTACTTTCTTCTCACCTTGTATTGAGCATCATGTGTGTCTGAAGTAGTTATTGAGCACCTGATTGGCACCTTTGCTAATTATTGAGCATTTTAAAGGAACCTAAGATGATATTGAGCACCTTGTGGATGAACTCTCTCTCTCTCTCTCTCTCTCTCTCTCTCTCTCTCTCTCTCTCTCTCTCTCTCCAGAACTCCGTGGTTGAGAGCCGAGACGTGACTTCTTGTGTGTGTTCAGTCACCGACATCATATTACCTGCTTTCAATATTGTGTAATATGTAGATGGAGAATTAAAGGTAAATATGTTGGAGAGAGAGAGAGAGAGAGAGAGAGAGAGAGAGAGAGAGAGAGAGAGAGAGAGAGAGATGGAGATTGTGTGTGAGAGAGGGAGAGAGAGAATATTCATACCATTTAAATGAATATATATGCATACATACCTGTAAAAACATATGTGGATCAGTTCATACATATATACATACATACATACATACATACATACATACATACATACATACATACATACATACATATATACATACATACATAGAGGGAGAGAGAGTCTATCTGGTAATTACACCATGTAAGTGGACCTTAAGCACCGGGAGGATGAGGCCGTGACCCGTGGTTTACCGGGGTGTTTACCGGGTTATCCAGCCCTGTGAGGGTTATCTAGCATTTGGCAAATATAATCCAGCTCTGTGTGTGTGTGTGTGTGTGTGAGTGTGTGTGTGTCTGGTCAGGGCGGCGCCTACTGGAACAAGACACTCCTGTGCACTCTGGAGCCAGGGGTGGGGGGGTGGGGGGGAGAGGGAGGGGAGAGGGAGAGGGGAAGGGGAGGGTGATGAGAGAGAGTTGTAAATAAGTGGTACAGGAATTACATAAATTACAGAAAAATTACATGGGGGTAAAGGGGTAAAGGGTCACGTAACGAGGTATTTCAGCATAGTTACAGAACAAAAGTCAGATTGGCAACACACAAGTCGAGGTGTTGATGATTTGATACACTGGTTGGATAG